CGGCCGTGTTTGCCGACGATCGCTCGGAGGCGGTCGAGGCTGGGCGCTGCTTTGCGCTCATGCGTGGTATTGTGCGCGGTACGGCTACGTGCGCCGCCACCTCCGTGTTACTCGACCGGATTTCGACTTCTCTGATTTTCTTATGATTTCTTTATTTTGTTCTTATCTTGTCCTTTTTCAAAGTAACGTTCGTTTTGCTATATTTTGTGATGGCGTTAATGTCTTCGTCGTTCGTGCTTGATTTTTTTTCCGATATTTTTTATCGTTCGTGTTATTTTTTTTTTCGTTTTCGTTTGGTTATTATTATTCCTATTCTTGTTATTTTTACTTATTCTTTGATTTTTAATTCTTATTCTTTATTATTATTAGTCTTAGTCTTATTCTTATTCTTATTCTTATTCTTATTTTTATTCTCTTAATTCTTCATTCTTATTCCTTATTCCTTATCGCCATCCTTCTCTTATGTCCTCCACTCAACTTGTTATCATTACCTGGATGCTCGATACCCCAATCCTGTTCTATCTTCTCTAGGCACTCGGCGACCCTGCACTAACTTCTGCTTGGCCGTGCCAGGTGTACAAACAGCGTCACGATGCATTGACAGCGGCGGCCATGATTATCCCTCGCCGCCCGCTGTTAATGTCAACTGCCACTACTACCGGCTGCTGTGTAAACGTCGGCGAGGACTACCGTGGGTATGCCCCCCCCCCAGCACCCACCCACACCAGTCGGCGGCGCCACCGCGAACAGCGGCTTATAACAATAACATTTGCACGCGCGAGCGACGCTCTGAGTTCCAAGAGACGCCGCGAAGTTTTTTTTGCGAAAGTCAAAAAGCGACTTCGTCCGTTGGCTCGTTTGTTCAATGGGTAAAGAGTTACGGGAGCGAGCGCGTTTGCGTGTTCGAGCTGAGATTTATTTGGAGCGCGCGCGTCCCCTGGCGGCGAGGGGGGTCCTAGGTAATCCGCGAGGGCACGTGTGTTTCGGATGTTGCGCGAAATAAGATGAGATGTTGTTGTTGTTGTTGTTGTGGCTGCTGCCCAGGGTCGCTCGCATGCGGCGCGCGGGGAGGTCGCCGCGGCATTCGGCCATTTTTTGTTTAAACCTAAAATTTTTTAGCAGGGCTAGCACACTGATATATATATAATAATATATATATAGCAGAAAATTGGTAGCGACAGACTTCATTCGCCCTGTTAAATTATGCTAAAGAGACCAACTATCGCACACACGAGCTTGTTTCAAACACGCGGGGAAACTTTACGCGCACACGCGCACACCATGTAGAGATCCTATATCATACGGGGATATTAAGATGCCTATTTTCCCAAAATTCTTCGCAGAATGCCTATACCCGCGCTCAGCGACGTCCTCTTGTTTCACCGGCGCGTCACTAGCTGTTGAACAACAGTAGAGGGCGTCCATAGGCTGCAGGCCTGAATAAGCATCGAACAGAATTTAATTAAAAATACTCACACTGTTACTGCACTTACAAAACATACACTTTATTCATGTTAAATAACTACAGATTCATGCTCTATGCTCCGCTCGAAACTTTTGCCAGCTCTATGATGCGAATTTCTGCAAAGTTGTCTGAACACATTTCATACACAAAAAACACCAACCGGTGACTGGCTACGCCAGCTGACGGAATGTCACGAATACATAACAAGAATAATTTTACTTCTAATGCTTTCTCGACGTCCACGAGGCATCCAACTTGCGTGCATAATGCTAATTATTGCACTCTAGTGCCGAATTTCGGCGAAAAAAAATGCGAAAAAAGGCCCTTTCTAGAGACGAAATAGTGCAACGGTGAACAATCGCGGAAGCTTACTGTTGTACACCTCCACTAGCAACTCGCAAGAGCGATGAGAGCGGAACCGAGTGTTAAACTCGCATCTCATATAATAATAACTAAGTATAAGTACCTAACTTAGTCCACCTTTCGCTGATAAGACACGTACGCCGATCTAGACTGACACCCTACGCCTCGAGCGGCATCTCATGGAGGAGACGAGTGTACTGACGTTACCGCGTTACAAAACTGTTGGCGACCGTATAAGAAAGAGTGTGCATTCCCAAGTAGGATGTTTGCTATAAGGCGCCACAGCTTTATAAATCGCGTCCCGCCCTGCGTATTCTGTCCGTCTCGTGAGTGCTTGCGCGCACAAACTCAATGCTAGAATCATCAATGGGAAGCATTAACACCTTCTGGCACTATGCGGGCGAGGAGGAGGGGGGGGGGAATTCCACGCCATATTACCTGTTTAAGTGAATTAGAACGCATATTTCTTCTGCATATCTTGTGGCTTCTAAAAATCACACACGGAGCGGTGCGTGCCTGCAAACCGCACTACGCCCATGTAGATTTGGCCACAAGCTGCGTTGCTGCCACATATTAATAGGGACTACGGATTGCGAGAGCACGCTAATTCTGTGTGTGGTCTAATAGCTTGACTTTGGCTCATAATTGGCTTTGTTGTCGCCACAATAATGGCTTTATGTCTACGGGAAAAGCTGAAAGGGTATCACTACCGCGCAATATATATATATGCACACACCTGTGAGAGACAGAGCGAGTCAGTCCCGAGCCAATACCGCAAGGGGGTGTGGAGAACTCGGTGGCCTTGCGGGTTGACACAGATAGAACAATGGGATAATATGCGGTTTACAATGAGTTTAAAGTGTCTATGATAGATAGATGGGAGCTATGCTAGAGGCGCGGTTATTGTATCGAAGTATCGAAAGAAAGAGGCAGAAAGAAATCGAAAAAGTACGAAAGGAGAACGGGCGGAGGAGGAAGGGAGAAAGAGAGGAAAGGAGGAAGGTAAAGGAATGAAAGAGGTGTAGAGCGAAAGAAGGCGAAACAGAGAGCGGCAGTGAGTGAGAAAGTGAGCGTACGCGTATGAGCGTAAGAAAGAAGAGTGGTGCGTTGTGAGAAAGAGAGGGTGGGTCGATTATTAACTGCTCATTAAAAGTCACTGCACTTGCGGCCTCTCTCCAAAAACACCTCCCATGCCTTTAACACGACTTTGAAATAAAAACAGTTCACGCAACGCTAAACTCATCGCTTATCAAAAACAATCTAGATTCCCAGCACTCCCCGCCGGACCTCGTACGGCAGGCGCGCGCGAAAGCCGTACACTCGCAAAACTAGATCAGTGGCCGCTAGCGAGGGTAAACGATAGACAAACTATATAGACACCCCCCCGCGCTGGACCCATCGTCTGCTATAGGGCCTACATACGTGTGTGACTTTCGAATGAATTCGACTTTTGTGCGCATCGCGAAGCAAATAACCCAAACATCGCCGCCTTTCTCCAACAACGAACGGAGGATGATTACAGGACTTCTTCACACGCTTAATTGAGAGGATCTCGCTATACATATACTACGGTACTCTCTATATATACTGCGTTCGCTATATACGCGTATAGCACGTGTTGCAAACACCGAAGACTACTGGCTCGACACGATGACGTGGACAGAGACTTCTCGTAGAACAATTCTTCGTGCCAACTTCAACAACCAGGAGTGATTTCGACTAGCATTTTTTCGATTGGCTATCGTCAACGTCTTCACCGACGACGCCTTCCGCGTGCCGATATACACCGTGATTGATTATCGGCTGTATTGAGCAGCGTTGACTCGTGTGCATCGTCACGATGGCTATGCTATCGATGTACTTCAGCAACTATTGCACCAGCGCTAACCAGCAGGTATGTTTAAACGCATAATTATACAATTACCATGCGCGTGCAATTAATTACTAATGCAATCATCGGGTAGTGACACGTATATACATAGTCGGTTCGTATACTATAAATACTGACACGTACGAAATGCGCGTCTTTTCAGTTATGTCGTGGTCCCCCTATCACAGCTAACTCTATCTTAGCTCTAGTAGGCCTACTATAGCCCTTTTTGCCCGCAAAAATGTTTTCCCTGCATGAAATATACATAGAATAGTCTATATAGCCCGGTGGCAACAAGGGGCTACAAGGGCTATAGTACTAGAGCTACAAGGGCTATAGTACTAGAGCTACAAGGGTTATAGTACTAGAGCTACACGGGCTATAGTACTAGAGCTACAAGAGCTTTAGTACTAGAGCTACAGGGGCTATAATACCAGAGCTACAAGGGTCATAGTAGGTCCTACTAGAGCTACAAGGTCTATAGTACTAGGGCTAGCTCTGTACCTATGTAGCCGGTCGTTGCACCATCGGCATGTAGCGGAGGGAATTCGGGGCTGCATATAGGTAAAGTACCGCGCGCCCACGCCTGTATTGGTAGCCTTACCGTAACATGTATTTATTTTACTGATATCACCAGTAAACGCGGTGAAATTTTCCCAACGTTCAAATATCAATCGCCGGTACGTACAATCGCCGTGAACACAGTGCGTACGCGACCTGGATTTTTTTTCTCCCTGCGTCAAGCCGACAATCGTATCATATTTCCTTGTTTGACGATAATGCGACAATGCTATCGGTTATTACCCGCTGCGGAACGTTAAACTATATTGATACTGCGCGCGTGGAGAGAGAGGGCAATGGTCTCTAACCTAGCTGGTCTCTGTGAGTGTGCGTGGATCGGGGGAGGGCGAGGGAGGGAGAGCGAGGGAGAGGGGCGGGGAGAGAAGGATATAATGGTTTCTGACCTGCTAGAGTGAGCGATGAGCGGGAGGTAGAGGAAACTGGGAGAGGGGCAGGTGTGCACGTGTGGAGTTGAAGAGGGAGGGAGACGTGAGGGGTTTAACCTGCTCTATACCCGCGTATACGTGGGCTGGAGCAGTATGGGGAGGGTCGGGGGAGAGAGTCGGTAATGTTTTCTAACCTGCTCTGAACGTATACGTGTCGAGTCGAGGAGGGAGGGAGACGTGGGTAACCTAGCTGCTCTATACCTGTGTATACGTGGGCTGAGGCAGTAAGGGGAGGGTCGGGGGAGAGAGTCGGTAATGGTTTCTAACCAGCTCCACTCGCGTGTGTCGGCACACGTCCGTCGACTCAAGTGTACGCACGTACGTCGCTTAATTAATCAGTCTAATGAGAGCGGACCGCGACAGCACCACTCGCGCAGACGTATTTGCTCCGTAATGACGCCGTCCGTCAAGCCTCACATTAGTTCTCGATTGCCAAAGTTACCCGCGCAAAGCTACACACGGTTGTTAACCGCAGTGTTGCGGGAATTAACCTTAGCCGATGCAGTCTGTACGGAGCGAGAGAGTTCATGCGTTCTCCTGTGTGGGGATTGTTTATTGTTGTGGGTCTTGTGATGTCGTTATTGGCATAATAAATATCTCTCGTATCGATAGACTCACGTGACATTAGCCTAGGTCACATCAAGAGCACATAAACCGTATAGTAGGTTTATGCGCTCTTTGTTACATGAATAAAACATGTTATGCAATTTTTCCGTGATTGCGAGGGAAACATTGAGTATTGTGGACCGGGAAATATCAGTGTTGTCGAGGATAATGTTATAATCTTGGAGGACCACAAAACTCTATGTTGCCTGGACAGCCAGGCAGCGCATGCTCTGTTCATATGACGGAAGTAAATAATACCGTAATACTGAGACCGACTGTGAGGACAATTCTACATAGTACTATGGTTTAGCTACCTATGATTTATTTATCGTAGCAAAACATGAACTCAAACGTTATACATCAAACATTCAATAACTACATTCAATGCTATGCACCAATTACAATGCGGTATTTTTACAGCCATATAACTATAACTATATATATATATATATATATATATATATATATATATATATATATATATAAATATACAACGTATATATATATATACTACACACTAGTACGTACACTACGTTATTAGTATATACGATAGTGTAGTAGTATATATAGTAGTACTA